GACTAGGGTAAAATCAGTGTGACTCCTGGGCTGGGGATGTGGCTCAAGCGGTAGCGCGCTTCCCTGGCATGCATGCGGCCCGGGTTCGATCCTCAGCACCACATACCAACAAAGATGTTGTATCCACGTGAAAACTAAGAAAAAATAAATATTAAAATTCTCTCTCTCTTTGAAAAAAAAAAAAATCAGTGTGACTCCTAATCATTGACAAATCCTGGAGAATCTAGTGTATTCATGAGGGTTTGGGGGCACAGCCTGTTGCCCAGGCTGGTCTCAAACTCCTGGGTGCAGAGATGCTCCCACCTCAGCCTCCCAAGTTGGGGGATCTCAGGGGTCCACCACCTCACTCGCTCAGTATTCAGTCTCACTATTTACACGTTCAGTCAATATATAAATGGAGCCAGTCCATATGTGCTCGTTTTGTTATAAGATCAAAAGCCGTGGGCAGTTGTGAACAGCGCCCAGGGGCACACCTTTGTAAGCAGACCTGCTGTGTTCCCCACGTGAAAGTGAGCAGGTTTCTTTGTGCACCCCGATTCTCTGTTCATGATCCCTGAGACTGAGACAGCAGTTATTTTTCTCCTTAATATTTTGAATTACTAAAGAAAGAGTCATATTGAATCAAACAGGAAATAACTACACATTTTGGCCACACTAAAAATCTAAAATTAGCTAACTAAGTGGATCACGACCAACTCATTGGGACAGGGCGTCTTGGGCTGCAGTGGGGTTTCTACTCAGCAGTCACTCCTGTGGCCTTTCAGGCAGTCAGTTTTAATGCCACCTGTGTTAAGAATCACCAAGAAGTGCGTCGCACCGCTAGTGCACACTTAGGTCTGTCTGGACGTGTCTGGGGAGATTCCTGGGGGTTGTCAAAGAGAGTGTAAAGTTTAAATTCAGTCTTCCTGATGGACATCAGAAGGGGTCAGAATCTCACTCGGAGATGTCTGTGACTTACACTCACAGGCAACTGCAGGCCTTCTGGACTTTTTAGAATGTTATCTCTAAATTCCAAGATTTTTTTTAAAAAACTGCAGAACCAACTCACCAACCCCAAGTACACGGCTGTCCTGGTGTCTTCAAAGAGGCAGCACTTCTTATTTTTAGAATGGGAAATTTTGCTTAAAGAAATAACCTATGCTGTGGTTTAGAATGGAAATACTGTATCTCTTTGAGATAATAGTTGCTATTTTTAGACCAATTTACAAAGAGGTGAGCCACAGAGAGGCTTGTAATCTCCATTTAGCCTCAGACTTTGGGAGCTGCAGTCTGTAAAATCAAGTGACCCCACAGTTACTCCAGATGCATCTAAAAATTTTTTTTTAATAATTATTTTTTGATTGTAGATGGACACATACCTTTATTTATTTTTATGTAGTGCTGAGAATCAAATCCAGGGCCTCAGACCTGCTAGGTGAGGACTCTAACCCTGAGCCACAACCCCAGCCCAATCCAGATGCATTTTTGAAAGTACTTTCAAAGATGATTTAAAAAAAAAAAAAAAACTTTTTTAGTTGTAGGTGGACACAGTATCTTTATTTTACTTTTATGTGGTACTGAGGATCGAACCCTGTGCCTTCCACATGCAGACTCTCTGCCACTGAGCTACAGCCCCAGCCCTCAAAGATAATTTTTAAAATATGTTTGTAATAATGACTGAGTGGCTCAACACTAGTTTTGGAGACTTTGAAATTCCACTGTAGAATAAACAGAAAAGCTTACTAAACAAAAATAGATTTTCTTTAGCTTGGGGAGAACAATAAATAGCAAGCACATTCCTAGGCCCAAGGCTCAGAGCTGGATGTTAATGCAAAGCAGCTGGGGGGGGGGGGGGGGGGGAGCAAGACGGCCCCTCCTCCTCGGTGGCTTTGCGGAATTCTGCGCAGGACAGGGCTCTGCTGAAGCAGTCCCCCGGGCTTGGAGGGAGAGTGAGCAGGCAAGTCTGTAGAAACGGGCTTTTGTAATCTTATGTCCCAGCCTTCGCAGTGGAGAAAGAGTCCCAGAGAGAGTTTGTCACATAAAAGGTGGGCCGACGCTGTGCCCAAGGTGTGTTTTCTCCTGTGCTGACCCTCCAGGCTGGAGTGTGACCTGCTGTTCCTTACCCAGAGTCCTCTGCAGTTCCCACCTCGGGGTCCCCAGTCATGTTTCAGGGTTGCTGGGTGCAGGCTGGGTAAAGGGCACTGAGAAACTCCTGAGAGCTAAGGAGCTTACAAAGCAATTACACAGGGAAGCTGACCGCTAGTGGGGGGCCAGGAGGAGGAGAGCAGAGTCATTCCCACCCACACGGTGCCAAGGACCTCTGGTTGGCGCTCAGGAAAATATGCCACGCAGCCACAGTGGGTTTATCACCAGGGAGCTACAGTCTGCTCAAGTGTGTGTGTGTGTGTGCGCGTGTGCGTGTGCGCTTGTGTACACTTATACATATCATATACAATGATATCCTGAATCTCTTCCAGAACTTGGGCTGTTGTAAAATTCCACAAAGGAGAATCACTTCTCCAAACTAAGCGGGACTTGCTTCTCTCCTCAGTCGCCCTGTTCCTTACAGAAGAGGGGAGGAGACTCCCCTGTGGAGTTTCTGGGGCTTTCTGAGGAAGGTGTGGAACGAGCCGGAGAGGGTTTTAGAAGTTTGAGGTCTGGGGGGAATTCCCTTTTTTTTTTTTTTTTTTTTGTTTTGTTTTGTTTTTTTAATATTCGGAGCAAAATGATAAATGATGAAACCAAAGGTCGTTGAAGGAGTTAAAAGTGCCTTTTGTAAAGGGCCAGATGGCATTCACAGAGGGGAAGCTGTTGTTTCAACGGAGGAGCCACCGCGCACCCGGGTGGGGGTTTGGAGGTAGGTGGAGATGAGCATTTGGGGCCTTGATTCTTCCATTACTGGTAGACGAGTAGGAACGGAAGCCACAGCATATGGCCAGGAAGGGAGTCACAGGCCACCAACAAAGAGTAGGAACAAGCCAAGAATGAGAAGTCGATAAAAGTGAGAGGCCCTCTGGCCTCACCAACCAAATGCCCCAGATAATAAGGAAACTGATGGGAAACATTGTCACTGTCACCTTCATTCAAGAAGTGTGATGTCTGAAGAGGGAAGAAGATAAAGGAAGTAACTGTGAATCGCCACCTTGGCTCTCTGCGGTCTGCAGACGGGGACTGCCGGGTGGAAGTGGGCTCCAGGTCCCCCCAGGGGAGGGCGCCTGAGCCGGTGCCTGCGTCACACAGAAAGTGGGGCCGACGGCTTGAGCGCTTCCTCTGTGCGTTCACGTCTGAACCTCCTTTGTGTGTGCTTTCTTTCACTCTTGGTCTGAATCCTCTGTCGTATTTGTTCAGTGAAACAAAATTAAAACAGGCAGACAGCAGCCGTGCTGGAGCAGAGCCTCTCCTGCTGCTGCGTTTGGCCCAGAGAGAGCTTGCCAGGCCCCCCGCCAGGCCCAGCCCAGCTGGGCTCCGTCAGGCAGGGGGTGGGCTTCTGCCAGGGGACCCCGGATTGGGTCAGTGTCACGGGATGGTGTTAGCAAATCACCTCTAAAGGCTGCGTGCGTCGCACTTCTTGGTAGGAGTACCACGGCTCCTGTGTGGGGATGCCTTAGGGTGGGCACACCGTCTGGTTTGAGCTTTAAAATCCTCCTGGGCCTGGGGGTGTCGCTCCGTGGTGGCCAGTGCCGGGCGCCCCGGAGGTCCCGGGTCCCATTCCCATCACACACACCAGAATCCATTCTGCCACTTGTAAACGGCTACCCTTCCTTTACAAGTATGCGATCAACCAAAATATGGATTGAAAGAGAGTGACGATTCTACCACGCGGCCTGCGCAATGGTTTCATTAATGAGGTTCTAGGCATAAAGTTAGTTAGAAGAGATCGAAATAAAACACACAGACACAGTTACCTTATTTCTATTGCCAGGTCCGAGATGGCTCCCCTCTCTGCCTCTAACCGCCCAGCAGGGCAGCAAGGATTACTCAGGGCTAGCAGGAGAGAGAGAGAGTGAACACGCCAGGGAGTAGCCTTTTATTGGGGAACAAGAAATTCAGGGGATAATTCCATCCAATGAAGGTTGAGGGGGGACTGCACTCCAAGGTCAGGGTCAGTGATTGGGCCCCTGGGGTCAGTGGTCAGTCACACCCCCACACGGACGGGTTCTCTCATCAGGAAAGGGCCGGGAAAATTCCGACACAGCCAGAAGCCTCAGACCCTTAACGGGAGTCGCCCAGTCACGTGTCAGGATGGCTTCCCACAGACGATGTATATGTTGGTTTTTGTTGGTTCTTTTTAGCAATGTGTGTTCGTTTCTTGAGCCCGGGTCTCCCTGTGCTGCCCAGGCACCTCCAACTCCTGGGCTCAGCCACCCGCCTGCTCAGCCCTGCGTCGCCGGGACCAGGGGCATGAGGCACCGCACCCGGTTCACACTTATCAAGTGTCCTATTAATTTTTTTTTTAAGAAAGTAAAATGATAAAACACAAAGTAGCACACCCCCACCCAAGAAAAGCCGTAGAAAGCAGAACAAGGTGCGTTATTATTGCTTCTTGAACGTAGGCACTGAAAACAGGTGAAGCATTTTCGGGTCCGCAGTCTCAGAGGTTCCCGTGCTTTCTTAGTTCATGAAACCTGTGGGAATTAGACTCTAATGTAGGGGTTCCTGCTCCCCTCCTCCAAAATTTAAAACAAATGCACATTTGATGTCTATACACACACACGTGAGCCGAGGTTCCCACAGGAGTCACCCGGGTGACCTGAAAACGAGAACTGGCCCAAAAGCAGACCATAGGGAGGGAGCACTGGTCAAACCTGCACCTGCGAGCCACGGTGAGCCACGGAGTGGGGTCTGTGACACTGGGGTGCACGCTATTCACCTAAAGTAGATTCATGTTCAAGATTTAAACAAAAAAACAGCACTTGAGAAATCCAGCCACTTGGGGTGACTTCGGCTGCGGTGTGCAGTTCAAGGTCTTTTTCCTTCTTTTTAATGCATGAACGCGAGTGTGTCCTCATTTTGGCCCTCAGGCGCGGCAGCAAGCTCAGATACGTCACCAGATGGCAGAGGACAGCAAGGCAGACTACTCGTCGAGCCTTCAGAAGTTCAACCAGGAGCAGCACGAGTACTACCACACCCACATCCCCAGCATCTTCCAGGTGGGGCCTCAGGACCTCCTGCGTCTCGCGTGCTCTGGGTGCAAACGTGTCGCCTTGGAATCGGACCGCTGGGCTTGTGCTCTAAGTGTTTCTGTAATTTGATGTCCAGTGAGTCAATTTTAGAATCATAGGTCAAGCATTGGCCAGCAATAAGAACGAGATGTAATTTATTTTTAATTATTTATTTTGGTGCCAGGAATTGAACTGAGAGGCGCTTAACCACCGAGCCATGTTCCCAGCCTTTCTTGTATTTTATTTTGAGACAGGGTCTCACTAGCTTGCTCAAGGCCTTGCTAAGTTGCTGAGGCTGGCCTCAAACTTGTGATTCTCCTGCCTTCGCCCTCCACGTCCCCAAAGCCACTTGGGTTACAGGCATGCACCACTGCCCCTGGCAAGGAGATGTCATATTACTCTCAAGACTAACGAGTTGCCTTGGCCAACCCCCTTTGTGCCTACAGTTGGTGTGTGTGTGTGTGTGTGTGTGTGTGTGTGTGTACACGCGAGTGCGTGTGCTTGTGTGCCAGTCTTAACTAAAAGGACCATTTTAGTTCTTTGCTACAAGAACCATTCTACCTACAAAAAATGCCAACTTAAGAAAACAGCGTACATCCACACACTTGTAGGATTTGAATCAGTAACAATTCTTTCCTTTTGATTGTTTTCTTTTGGCTACTTTAGGTTGTCAAAAGTGAGGAGAGAAGGCGGGGTGTGGCTCAGTGGGAAAGTGTTGGCAGAGCAGGCACTTAGCCCTAATGTCTCTCTCTCTCTCTCTCTCTTTCTCTCTCTCTCTCTCTCACACACACACACACACACACACACACACACACACACATATCAGAGAAGATATGTACATGCTCTTCCATTTGGGGAATCTTTCATGACTTCAAACCTAGATGTAGGGAAACATAAGCCTTGCTTGTTGGCATCTACACCCACAGCACACGAGAACCCCGGATGGCAGAAGGAAGGGACACTAGTTCTACTCCAGCCTGTGTTACACTGAGACAGCCACGGGCTGAGCTTTTCTTGGTCTAGAGTAAAATAGGGGATCAAAGATGCAGAAGACGTGTCAGGCACGGTGGCACCCACCTGTAATCCTAGCGCCTCGGGAGGCTGAGGCAGGAGGATCACGAGTTGAAAGCCAGCCTCAGCAACTCAGTGAGGCCCGAAGCGGCTCAGTGACACCCTGCCTCTAGATGACAAAGGGCTGGGGATGTGGCTCAGTGATCAAGTGCCCCTGGGTTCAATCCCCAGTACTAAAAAAAAAAAAAATGGAGAAGGCGTTTGAAGCGTGTTACCAAATGATGTTAATAATTAACTACCACGACGGGCTCTTGTTGAAATGGAATGGAATTGTGCGAAGTACACACTTGGCCGCCTAACAGTTTATCAGGTGTGTATACAGCCGGCTAGTATAGAGGCACAGTACATATGACCTCCAGGCCTTTCCCCTAGAGGATTTATTTTAGGTAACAGTGTTGCCCAAAACAACTTCCCTGAATCTCAGGGACCGAGGTTTTTTTTTTTTGTTTTTTTTTTTTTTTTAAACACACTCTGACGTTGCAGAAAATCCAAGAGATGGAGGAAAGGCGGATCGTGAGGATCGGGGAGTCCATGAAGACATACGCCGAGGTGGACCGGCAGGTGATCCCCATCATCGGCAAGTGCTTGGACGGGATAGTGAAGGCGGCCGAGGCCATCAACCAGAAGAACGTAAGCAGTGGGCTTTGGGCTTGTTCACAGTGACATGCTGTGGTTCCGCTACAGGGCCCCTCCATCTGCCAGGGCCACCTCCTCTGTGGCCAGGCCTCTCCCACAGCAGCCCTCCCGGGGAGCTGTCGAGGTGGCCCCTCCGTGGCGTGGACCGGGCTCTGATCCCTTTTTCAGAAAACACATTGTCATGGTGAATTGACGGTGGTGATGTTACAGGATTAAGTCGAAGTATTTTCTTGTCATTTGGCTGAGAAAATCTGTAAGTGGCATTTGTGGGGGTTGTCAGGGTACTTGGCACCAGACGCCAGTGGTGGTCCCCCAGCTGTGACAAGGGACATAGTTAGGCCTCCCCTGGGAGGCAAGATCCTCTCATTAGGAACATTGACCTGGGACCCGTCAGTCGGTGGGAGAGGGCTCCCTGGCGGTGGGTGGAGTTTCTTCTCTGTCTTGTCGTGATTCAGGGTTTCTCCGTCTCCCTTTTGTTAATACAGTGAGTCTGATGCTCCTCCTTCCACGACAGCAGCTGAATTCTTAGGGAAAAGTTGTCGGTGCTCCTAAATAACTGGTGCCCCCACTGCGCATGCCAAGGCGTTTCCCCAGATGTGATGCGACTGTCCCTCCAAGCTGAACCTTTCTTTGATGGTTTTATCTATTAAAAAAAAAAAATACTCTTCATGAGGCTTCCTGTGATCACCCTGTGAACATCTCAGTAATCACCAGGGAATGACGTCCGGGGGTCTTTCAAAGGGTGAGGGCGCCGTGGAGCCGGGAAGCACTGCCTTCCACCATGGACGCCCTCTGTGGGTCTGGCTCCTCACAGGCATCTGGCAGTGGTGAAGATCTAAGGAACCTGATGTTAAGGTCTCCTCTTAGGAGCTGGGAGACTTCCCTCAGCCAAGGTTTTGCCAGAGTCTGTCTGAGTGATGTGTTCCTTGCTTAGTTTTATCTGGGAAATGATGAGCCACCACTGGATTCTAGAATTTTCCCCCATTATAGGAGCCTCTTTTTCCACCGCGTCACTAAGAATCATTTCTCATGTTCTTGTTGCTAAATCCAAGGTTCCTGTCTACATGTTTTTAGTGCATGCTGGGACGGACCCAGGGCCTTGCACATGCTAAATAAGTGCTCAGCCACTGAACCACATCCCCAGCCCTAGGCCAATGTTTTATATTGAGACCGGGTCCTGCCGAGTTGCTGAGGCTGTCCTCGAACTCGGGGTCCTTCCTCCTCAGCCTCCTCGATCACTGGGATGATAGTGGGTGTGGACCACTGCGCCTGGCTCCGTGGTGCTTTTATAACATGGTTCACTGAGTGTCACTGAACCCCTGCCTTATTCCATGCCTGTCGTCCCCAGCTTGACCTACTGAGAAGAACCCTGAGCCCAAAGTGGTTACAGTCTTGCCCAGGTCCCTTTCAAAATGTGTCCATTAGACGCCCCCCAGCCTGTGCTCTTTGCTCTGAAGCCCGCCACTGCCTTCTGTTTATTTCTAACAAGTGCCAGGCACTGCTGTAAGTGAGAACATGTGTGGAACTGTAAACACGACAAGCATTTTGGGAGAGATGAAGTAGGAAAGAATGGTAGGAAGCACCGGCACGGGACTAGGGGACAGGTACTTTATCAGGAAGTGACGTTGCAGTTGGAGGAAACACTTTAATAATTACTTAGATGGGATCAGAGGATGCAAAGCTCCCAGTTTTGCTGTTGTGCTCACAATGATGTGACCTTCTACCTGATGGTCCAGTATGGCACCTGGAGCTCCAGCCATCACATCCAAATTTCAGAAAACAGAATCCAGAGACAGGCTCATGCCACTGCCTTAAGAAGAATTCCTAAGATCACACAGTGCACTTCTGCCTCTGTCTCAGAGGCCAAACTTAGTCACACAGCTACCTCTTGCTGTTCAGGAGGCCAAGCAGTGAAGCCTGTTGTCCGGGGGCAGTGTGCCCAGTCAGCTCTTAGGACTGAGAAGGCAGGTGACTGTGGTTGGAAGTCTGTCAGGAGCGCGACTCACCTGCACTTTAAGGATAAGCTAGAAGAGCGATGGCCAGCTGAACCCATCTCATTAAGAACCCGAGCTCACCCTTGTTATCTTTCCTTAAAAAATCAGAAGGTCACGGAGTTGGGTTGCCACCTGTCATTATCTGCCAGTCCATCCATCTATAGCACGGTGCTCAAGACGCTTGGGCTGTGACTTCTTTACACTGTGTCTCCGCCGTCTGGCTCTGGGCTCCCTGGGAAGTTGCTGAACCCACAGTTCCACGCCGTGGAGTGTACGTTCGGTTCATTGATTTATTCAGCAAACACCTGTTGCCCCCCGGGATCCCCTGGGACCATCGGGTGCTGGGAATGCAGTAGAGAGGTCACAGAAGAGGGCTCGTGTTCTAGTGGGCGAATATCTACACCAGGGAACACCAGGCTCTAGATCAGTGTCTTTGAACCCAGTGACCTGAGAAACGAGACGGTCTCTTCCAGCCTTGGCCAGCGCGTGCTGAATCGCTTCCAGAGCTTCTGCCGGAACCAGGTTTTTCTGTTACTCTGTTTATCAAGGGAATTGCATAATCATGGCCCGTGGATTTCTTTCTTTCCTTTTTTTTTTCCCTGCTTTTCACAATGTAGTTTTTAACTCGGTTTGTTCCTCCAGGGTGGAGAAGTGTCTGGAAGTCTGAGATGGAGCGCGGTTTCTGTAGATCCCGTCGTATGAGGGCGCCGGGGTTCCCGGGTGGGACTGTTGTGCGTGGCTGATGTGTCCGTGGTTTGATTTCAGGATTCACAGCTGGTAATAGAAGCTTATAAGTCGGGTTTTGAGCCCCCCGGAGACATTGAATTTGAGGACTACACGCAGCCCATGAAACGCACCGTGTCCGACAACAGCCTCTCGAATTCCAGAGGAGATGGCAAGCCCGAGCTCAAATTTGGCGGCAAATCCAAAGGAAAGCTATGGCCGTTCATCAAGAAAAATAAGGTACTGGTGGTTTGGACCCAGTGCAAAATGAATTTGTTAAAGTGTGGAGATTTGGACTTTAGGTTTAAAAAAAAATTAAAATATTAAATCTGTAGTTTCAGAATGAAAAAAAAAAAATCTAGAGTGCTACTTTAGATCCGGTCCGCCTTGCTGTCGGTGGTAGTGCTGCCATGGCCCGCTGTCTTATTTCAGACGCATTCTCACTTGTACCGTGTCACCCACACTAACAGATTACTGACCCTCTCCCTGTGCATTTGCCCTTTCACTCCTAGCCCCCCCGAGGCTGCTGGGTACCTGCGCGGGGGTGAGGACGCCACCTCTATAACCATTAGCAGCACGTCTGATTAAACCTGTGGCCCTGGGCAATAACTGGGTTTTGAATCCCCGTTAACATGTGTCTCCATGAACATTCTCCATTTTCTTTCCGTAGTGTGGTAACATAGGTGCATGACAGCGTTTCCCTCCGCATAAGCTTAGACGGAAGCGGCTCCACGGCTAACCTTAGAGGGACTGAACGTTTAATTCTAGAAAGACCTTGGCATCAAGGCCTTTCATTTTCTCCCATCAAGCTGTGTTAGTTTAGGTGGTGTAGACACATCTCCCCTTCCGCCCTAAGCCGGTTTTGGAGTAACCATTGAGAGCCGTAGTTTGCATGCGAGCCGCGCACGGGCTTCCCCTCGGTGCCTCTGCTTCGCCTCTGCGCGCCACGGACTAACCCTCTCCCTTCCATCCTGTCCTTCATTTGACATTCCTTCCTGCTTTCTGTTGGACCATGGCCTAAATATTTAATGGTTTGTGTTTGACTTGCTTTGGATTTCAAATGCCGTTTGATGTTTATTTTTGTTTTGTGTCTTATCTTCTTTTTCTGGTTTTACTCTGTCACTGCTGCATCTCTCACACGTAGCTTGTGTCCCTCTTAACATCCCCCCATCAGCCTCCCCCTCCTCCCCCCGCCTCTGCCTCACCCTCTGCTGTTCCCAACGGCCCCCAGTCTCCCAAGCAGCAAAAGGAACCCCTCTCCCATCGCTTCAACGAGTTCATGATCTCCAAACCCAAAATCCACTGCTTCAGGAGCCTAAAGCGTGGGGTAAGTTCCGCTCCGGAGTCCTGTCTCTCTGGCGCACTGTCGGCTCGTTGTGTCCTGCCTAACTTATCTGTTTGTGAATGAATTCGTTGTGTTTTCCCGTAACAACAAAAACAGAAAGAAGAAAACAGGTGAGAGAATCAGGGCTCGTTCAAGGAGAGAAGCACAGAAAGAGGAGGAAAGGAGGAGACAGAACAGAGAGGGAGAGAGAAAGCCCCCCAGCACTTCCTGTGTCCAGTGCATTTCAAAAGGATTTTCCTCACTTCCCCTTGAAAGTCTCTAAGTTGTTACATTTTCACCTTGATTTCACCAAAAAAGGGAACCGTTCTGTTTCTAAAACTAACCACGTGTGAGATGAGGAATTGGAAGTGGCCGTAGAGTCAGAAAATATTTGCTTAGTAACTCCTGAACTGACGTGGAACAGAGCCACTTCTCTCGAGCTGTGTCTCGGGGTCAAAGGGGAAATGTCACGGCAGTGGTTTCGTTAGCAGTGTCAGTGAGTTGTGAGAGTCGAGAGTCAGTCACCCAGTGCTTCAACTCTGGAGCTTTCTGAGTGGCCGCGTGGCCCTGCGGGTGAAGATTCCCAGCTGACCACCCAGGTGCAGGGGCTGGTGGCTCTGGGGGAGGGCACTTGCCTGGCCCACTCGAGGCTCTGTGTTTCTTCCCCAGCACCCCAAAAAGCCATAAGCACCCTAGAAATATTGTCCCTTCAGGCTACATGTATAAGATGTATGCGTAACACACATGGATTTCAGTTTTAGACTTGGGTCCCCTCTGCAGGATGTCTCATTATGTCTTAGAATATGCAATATTTCAAAGCCTGGGGGGAAAATGTGGAGCCTGAGCCACCTCTGGTGGGAGCACTTCAGGTCGGGGCGCTCGACCTGCTTTTCTCCTGGCTGCCAGTGGCGTTCCTGGGTGCTCTGAGAACGCTCACCTTTCAACCCCTCTAGACATGATATTTGCCTACTTTGCTGTCCAGGAAATCGAGGCAGAAAGAGGTGAAATTAGGGACATGTGGAGCCAGGATTTGAAGTCAGGGATCTGCCTACAGAGTCTGAGATTCCACGGCCACACGGTCAGAATGTGGTTGAGGCATCAGAGGCTCTTATTAAAGCTCAGGTCTGCCATTCTAACTGAGATTTCGTGTGCCTGAGCCTCGAGACCTGATGTGCTAATCCAATCTACATTCCCGTTTGGCTTATGAAAAAAGATCAAAGTAATCGGAGGCCTCCAAATAAAATCAAAGGGTAGGTCTAGTCCGATGCTTCCCCAAATGTCTCTTATAATGAAATATCCATACATCCATATTTAGTGCACTGACAAATGCACTAGGGTTTTCTGATCCGGTCCCTGGGGAGCTGAAACTCGGCTGGAACGGAAGGCTTGATTGGACAAACGTGATTTCACTCTCCCCTTCCCCTGGGACCTCCAGTTGATGGACAGTTGGGTCACTTCTTTTCATACTGTGCCTGATAGTGAGGTCACCCAGAGCCAGAGTGGGAGGCCTTGCAGGTAAAGGCAGGCCCAACAGAGTGCTGAACTAAACCTGCAAACGTTCTGGCCTTTCCTCTGGAGGGTCACATGGGCACAGGAAGAGATTCTGGAGAAAAACTGCTTCGGGATGACAAGTGTCCTGCTCAGATTTTGAATCAATCTGCTGGATACCTGTCAGAGAATAACAGTAGTTAACCATTAACCTCACAGTCCATATTCCTCTGAGTCTACACAAGTACTCTATGTAAAAAGAAAGTTAAAATACATAAGTATATATGTGTGTGTATATAGTCAGATATATGATTGATAACTAGGCTATTACCTATTATAATAAGGGACAAAAACAACAATTCTTTATAGGTAGAGTTCTTTTAATGAGAGAATCTCAAGGTTTTGTGCACAGAATTTGGAATTAGATTGCTTTAAGGTTCCCCCGCATATCAAATGATGAGCTAGAAATCTGGTATCCTGAAGCTGTCCAGGGGCACTGTTGAAGGTGAGTGTGGCTCTGGGAGTGGATGGCGGAAGGACAGAGTCGAGTTCTGTTATTGGGGCTGGCTGAGGAATTGGTAGCTCCTGGGCTGCTTAGGCTGGTTGGGACCTCTCTCCGCCCGTGGCCGCGCTCCCAGCGTGTGAGGCGAGCTGGGCCACGAACCTCTGAGTCCGTGACACCTCACCCATTGCTGCACTTCCGAGGCCTTCACCAAGACGCAGTGCACTGCCTTTGCAGCTGGAGAGTCTGCCCTTGGCTTGGGACTCTCGATGGTCCCCTGCGTGTGTACCTGCGTCTCTCTGCAGATAGCTTCTGAATCTGTGTCATGGTATCCCTAAGTAAGTGGAGGGAAAGACCCAAGGACATCAGTTTTTCCTAAGTAAAAGAAAAAGGTAGCTAGAAAAGACATACTTAACAACCAAACAGTGGAACGGGAAACTGGTTTATTTTGATGACTTAAAGGAAAATCCTTTTTCTTTTTTTTTTTTTATCATAATCAGCAAAATGAATTTTATTTCTTATTCTTCACATCTGTGCTCAGCGAGTGTCTGTTAGTTTTTTTCTTTCCTGAGGGCAAACCACACACATACGCACTGGAAGCACTGGTAAAGAAATGGTTTTCCTTCCTCATTTTGGTCAGACTATTTTTAGTGAGGGTCATGTTTGCTGTCCTCTCATTCCTCTAGGAAGAAACTGAAAAAGGAAAGAAAGTAAAAGAAAAAGGAAATACCAGGACGTTCAGACAAAACATGTAAACCTAAAGTTTGGGAAATGGATTTGACTTCAAAGCCATCTCAGCATAGAAGGTGCCCAGTGTCCCCAAAGGACACCCACAGCCTCAGGACTGAGGTGGCGAAGTCTCTGTCATTTTATTTATTCTCCTCTTTTAACTTGAGACTGTCCTACCAAAGATGATTTCATTAGAAAAAGTATCCTACGAGAATAACAAATCTGTGGTTCCCGATGTCTTTTGATTTCTCCCGTTTTGCAGTCCTTGGGTTCAGATCTCAATCGCTGATTCAGTTGTCAGAGAGAATGGCTCTTGGGCAGACGTTTCTTAGCATAACCGAGTCTGTTTCTGAATAATGAAACAGGATAGAATTTTTGTTGTTGTTGTAAGCCATTGGCGTTTATATAAGAAAATTTTGTTTTTCTGAGCATCTTCAAAGATTGGTATGCCACAGACATTTAACTATTGTCTCATCTTCACGTAAGTCAAAGAAAAATGAAGCCAGAGAGTCATCTATCCTTGGTTTATAATCTACAAAGTGTAATTTTTTGGTCTTAAATGAAGATTTCTTCTCCTGGCCTGTGCAAGGGACTTTTATATCTAAAATATGGACATTCCCCCCCCCATATTTTAGAGTTAGTTGTATGGAAATGTAGCATCAAAGATGATCAAAAGATTTTGAAAAGCCATACCAATCGTTTGTTGGTTGAACAATCTTGTGGTTACTTTAATTTTGTTTATTTTATCTTGTTTTCTTGCTGGTCATTGGCAGGCTCAGTCTCTCTGTTTACACAAAGAACTCATGAAGAGGACGCTAGGGAAACCCACGTATGCCTTTGAGGCTAGGGACTATGTTGTAAGTTTAACTGTGGCGGCAGGTCACGCAGTCACGGCACAGCCACTAACCCCACGGACAGGACCACGGCTGGGACCCGAGGGTACCCGCAATGCTTCTACACCACCAAATGCAATGCCCCGTCAGGAGACCTGGCCGGGCGGGGAAGAGCCTGATCGTATGAATTCCACGGCTGCTTCCTCCGAAAAGCTTTGCAGGGGAAAAGCTGCAGACTCCTCTCGTTGGGTTCCCCCCTTTTTATTCTAGTTCTGGCAAAATCTTTAAAGGGATGGTGACTGCCATCTGAGATGTCACCGGGTATGATTTCGCCACAGAATCTCACCCATTAAAACGCAGCCGC